GGGTGTCCCGTTCGTCGACGTACTCAAACATATATATATATATATATATATATATATATATATATATATACTTATTAAACAGTGGTAAAATTGATAAAGTGCATTAAAACTAACCTTGGAAAATGCAAACACGAGGCTAAAGCACTTGATATAGGTGCACTTGTACTATACAGGAAATGCACCATATAGGTCATGCATGCTATGTAATATTAGGCTGTGAAACATCAGTTTGTTTGTATGTAATTCTGTGCATCATGGTGGTTGGTTGGTTGATTTGGTTCTTTGTGCTTACTACACCCGTATTTGTGCATGACAATCATACATCAGTATTTTCAAACACTTTGAATTATCGTTAGTGATATTGGAAGCACAGTTTATCATGATTTTTGTAACTTAAAAACTGTTATAGGAGGTGTTAACCTATAATTTTATATATTCAGGCAGTATGAGTATCTGTGTTTTGAGTGGAAAATCTGCAGAAAAATATAAATGTTTAACAAATCTTTAACAACTCTATACTTTGTACTTGCTGATAGTGTTTTGTACAATTTTGATTTTCTTTTCTTTTGATGTATAAAAGTAACAAATATCTGTATTTTGACAATATTTGATACCAATCACGATACAGATATGACTATTGTAAATACTCTAAAAGACTTGTTATAGTATTGTCATGCAGCTGTCTGCCTATGTTTGGAAAAGAATTGAACAAAAAGCTGTAATAAGAACTTTTGATTTCTCTGAGTGTGTAATATTTATTACTTACAAGTCACAAAAGTAACTTGGAAAACACTAACACACAAAGAAGAGGTTTGAAGTAGGTTGAAATGCAGACTCTAGGAGTTGACATGCAAATCCATTTTCAGGAACTTTCAGACAGTCCAGACAACCTTAGCATGATATCACAATTATTTGTCTTCCTGACCCCATCCCAGTATACTTCTACAACATCGATAAAGTTGGCTAGCATATTGAGAGCTGAAGAAATCAACTGAATGTTTCATATCAAGGATCACCTGCACACCTGGATTGTTTAGAGAATTCCATATTGATATAAAATGTTAAGGAAATATTTGAAAATTTAAATAAAAGTGCAGGTAAAATAAGCTCCATTGGTAATACTTGCGAATTTTTTGCCATTTTTAAAACAGTAAATGCTGGCACTTGTATTCTGATATTTAGGAGAATAAACTGAATTGCTGCAACTTACCTTTTGACATACTTTTGAAAGGAGAAAACAAAAGAATGGAAATACCAAAATTATGGTGACATACTGTGAAGAAAATCTTGATATAACTTAAATACATACATTTTTCTTTCAGGTTGGATCTTCTCCCATTTTATGCCCGATTTGTTGCAACTCTTAATCCTTGTATGCCTGATGTTTCCAATGATCTTGTTACATTGCTCAAGCAAGATTTTAAGTTCCATGTATGTATGTGATGAAATCACTGCTTCTGCTGTATTCTAGGTGACAAAAGCTAAAAACTGAATAAAAGTTAAAACTCATATCTATTTCTATACTTGTTTACTATTATTTTACAATAAATATTATAATTTTACGTAGAAATGCAAGATGTAAAACATTTATTCTTGGAAGTTTTTTAAAAACTCGATAACAAAAATTACTTGCTATAATGATTACACACTTATTGTGAATTACAAAATAAAAAAATGCAATACGTTAGTTGAAAAAAAGCAGAAAAGGTGCAAGCAAACCTGTATTCTGAATTTTGTATGTGACCATAAAGTTTTTTTTTGAATGCTAAAAATCAACAACTTCAAGACCTATGAAAGTAAATAAATTCCTTTGAAACGATTAATTAAAACTAGAGTACTGAAATATTTTATTTCTTTGTTAAAAAAAAGAAAAGCATATGTGATACATCTTATTCAGCTTTTTCTTTATGCTATTTGAAATTTCTCTGCTCATTAATTTTAACAATAGGTAGTTTAGAAAGGTATCCCTTATTCATATTATACAAGGTTTACGTATTTGACTTTGCATCTTAACATAGCTTGTTACACATGGTACAGGTAATTTAAGTTTTAGGGATATTTTTTTTGGGGGGGGGAATCAATATAAGATAAAATAACATGATATTTTTATAGCAGTGATTTATTGAAATAAATATTTAGTTTAGTAATTTTTATAATAGATAAAAAAGAAAGACCAAATCAACATAGAATCCAAAGTCAAAACAGTGAGGTTTATTGGTAAGTAAAATAAATAAATGAATTAATTTCTTTGTTTATCTTGACACAAAAATTGATTATTAAATTATTTTTGAACTTAAAGATTTTCATTTACATAACTGAATTGTTTATACAAATCTTTATAACACTACCAGATTTTTAGAAGTAGCATAAGCTTTTTTTATACTAATTCTTGTTATATATAAGAAAAATGTTTTTGAAGAAGATGAATTTATTACCATTCAGTGTCGTAGTGGAGTTTTATTGTTGAAGAGGAAACATGTTGCAGGTATTAAATTAATGCTTTCTTTCAGAACTGAAAGAGCAACTTTTTTGCAAAAACAACTCAACTCTCTTATCTTGGTATGGTGAAAAATTGTTGTAACAGATTAACAAATTTTCTAAACTTATTTTTAAAAATGTGCTGGAAAAAATCTTATTTTGAAATGATCAGTAGAAGTTAGTAATAAGGAGCCCATGATCTAGAAAGTTTGAAAACCACATGTTCAGATCTAATAAAAACTGTTAAAGAATTTTTATTCTGATGTGTATGGACAGCTTTTCCCATAGTGTTATTGTGTTCTTTGATAACAAACTTGAGACCTACTACATTTGAATTCTCCCCTTGAAGCCTTCTTCATTGTTGAAATTGATTTTAGAGAGCAGCTATTTTGAGTAATATTGTCTCTAACAGAAGGGGCATACTTATGAGAAGATTATCAGAGTACAAATATATATATATAGATACACACACACTTTGTTTTATGTTTAAATATTTGTACCCTCAATTGCTCATGACCCTGAATACAAGAAAACTTTAAATGAAAACCACATAAAAATGGAAACAAATAAGATATTAGCATTAAAGGCTACAAAATTAAAATATGTAGAGTTAAAGTTTATAAATAAAAATTTTATATACTTACCATTTATTATAATTCATTTTTCAAAACATACCTCACAAAAGGTCTTGTTTAATTTTATGAAGGAACTGATCATATCAAATGACCAGAATAGTTGAATTGTTACATAAAAGCAATCAAAAATATTTTCATTTAAATTTATTACTGCTGCGAGTCGTAACATAATGGATCACATATTTAGTCACATTGCTGATGTAGGTTAAACATGCTGTTAGAACAGGATTTCTATTTTATTGTCCAGATGATATTGTTTGGTGCTTTAAGCATTCATTAGAAGTGGAAAAAAATTTATTTTAGAATGACACTATATCTTATAATGGTTTATTAGAAGAAGATAGACAACTCTTGTATGCTGGATGTAGCTGAGAAAGGATTTTAAAACCAGTTGTAGCTTTATAGTAAATTGAACTGAGCATATAGTTTTTATTTACAGTGCTTTATGTTCAACAATTAAAAAATGATTTATTTGGTTAAAGAAATAAAAGTCTTACTTTAGTTGTTTTAGAGCCAAATCTTTATCTTTAATTTTGCAATTATATCTTCTTTAAGATGTTAGGAATCTTCTATTATGATTTTTAAATATTTTTTCTCAGGTGAACTGACCAAGTTTAACATCTATCCAAAGTCAGAATCACTGTATTGTTTGAAAGTAAGTATTGATAAAAAATTAATTTGAAATAGATATTGGTGATGATAAATACATAAAATTAAAAATACTTTGTTAATTAAATTTATTATGTTGTGTGAGTTTAGAAAGTGATGTACAGTAGTTGTTGGTCATTTATTAGAAAAAGCATATATAGTAGTCTTGTCGTAAAGTGTCATTGCAAAATAAAAAATAAAATAAACTATGGAAAATTTAAGTCTTCTTTGCTAGCATACTCGATTATATATAACAAAAAAATAAATCAGGTGGGAATCTGTCTTTCTCTGTTGAAATTTTATACGATATTTCTCACACTTTTCAATGCAATGCAGAGGAGACATTACTAAAAATGTTGATATATTATAAACGTCAAATACTTCAGCAATCATTTTTATGTTTTAATATATGTATTGTACAAATATTTAGAGTGATTAAGTTTATGAAATCAACTTGATTTTATTGCCTTATTATAATTATGATTTAAATTCTTGCTAAACATTTGTTTTTATATCAACTAGATGCTACTGTTTGATTTCACTCATCATCACATCGAGATGGCTTGTAACCTATTAGAGACTTGTGGACGCTTTTTATTCAGATCACCAGATTCGCACCAACGCACAAAAGTTTACTTGGTAAGGTATTAAAAAGAACAGTACTTTGGTTATAGTTAGAAGATATATCTTACTGAAAGTTGTTTTTTACCTTATGTGTGAGAGCAAGCAAGTTACATATGCTGTTGTCAGCCTTTTTAATTCTTGTTACTGGTTAGGTCTAAGACCTACTTTCAGTGTACAAAGGTCTAACGTTACATATGCAAAAAATTCCTGTCTTATTTCTAGTATTTGAACAAGTGCCAGAGCAACTGAAATGCTGTAATATATTGGAATTTTCACCATTAGAACTGGAGAAAATAATTTACAAATATATAAAAAAATTTCATTAAATAGTGATATAAAGATTTCCATATATGATAGCTGAAAAATGTTTTAAAAACCCACTTTTTTAAAGTAGATACAACCATTGTATCTTGCACTTACATACATATTTTTATTGTTTTGTTTTTTTATTAGAGTCAAATGATGAGAAAGAAATCAGTGATGGCAATAGACAGTCGATATGCAACTATGGTAGAAAATGCTTTTTATTACTGCAATCCACCAGAAGCTCCCATAGTAAGCAGTATGATTTATAATTAAATTATTCATTTCTCAGAATGTTTTAATTTTTCCATTGTTTCCAGTTTGTTTTTTAAACTGTTCTTACTATTAGATGAAAATTTACCATTAGTTTTCTTATTTTTTGAAATATATATATCCCATTAAATCATCATTTCTCACACATATGAAGGAGGAGAAAGGGAATTCTTTGCACAGGTGGTGGATTTTATGATCTTATGTCTTTCATCATATATATATCACAGTTTGTGCATGTAAAACACATTATCTTGCATATTCTTTGCTTTCAGTCATAAGTTCTTATAATTATGTGTAACATAAATATTTGGAAATATATACTTTATTTTTTTTTGTATTCGTGTATCTACTGAACTGAAATATTGGATCTATTAACCCGATCGCCACAGGTATCCTTTTACTGCCCATGACACAAGGTTGTAGTGTCTTACAGTCGAAATTTTATTAAACCACTCTTTGTTTATGTTATACCAATTAGAATATATAAAATTTTAGCTAATAATCCATATTTTAATAGTATTCATGTTTTAAGCTCTTAATTCTACAAGGCAATATTTTAAAAAAATTCTGAATTTCCACTACTGTGACCCACGTGACACGTCATCATCCCTATTTTATCCACCACCCCTCAAAAAGTATGAAATTAAACGTAAATTACTCGCTATAAAGTTGTTATTGCTCAGACAAACCATAATTTTTATAGTCTTCAATTTTGTTTAATTACAGAGCTATCAAATAGAAAATCAGTCCCCTCCTGCCACACCCACCTGTCACATCCTCTTTTCAGAATTCATTGATAGTTCTCTCTTATGTTTCATTATATATTACCTATAACCAATAGGAAGTCAAGGTTTTCATCTATCAAATGACGTATTGTATAACATTATGTTGTGAACAGTTAGATGTCAGTTTCACTCGGAGTACCAACATAGTTCCTGTGGGAAAGTTAATGACTAGCTTGGATGAATTTGTAACAGTTCTTGTTGCATAGTTAGAAAGGCAGAAAAGTTTTTAAAGGTGAGGGAATTTGTCTACTTTTTGAATGTTATTAGTCTATATTCTTTGGTGCATTATTTAATTAAGTAAAAATTGTTAAGTGAATTACTATCTATAGTATATAAAATTAGGGTTAACTCTCTACAAAAACCGACAGCAAGAAAATAGAAGATTGGTTAAGTAATTTATTTCTTGTTTTTCATGTTTATTCTTTATGTATAATTATAAAAGTAACTAAAATGTAAAAATAGGGATCATTTTAGGTTTGTTAAGATTAGATTAGGTAAAATAAATAATAATAATATTATATTAAAAATGTTTCATGAGGCACACATGTGAGCAGCTTGTGGGTAATGTAATTCGTTAGTGTAACTTGAGCTGCATGTTCCCTGAGTGAGTTACAACTTATAATGGAGTGTATAGTAGTTAGACACAGTTCAAAAGTCAATAAAACAATAAAATGTAATCATAAAATATACATACTGTTATGAACTTAAAGCTACTTAGGATAAATGAATGTAGTTTCATGTTGCAATTTTACGTCATTTTGGAAAGAAAAAAGGGTAATTTAGGTTTATTTCAATGTTTTTTCTTTGGTGGTTACGAGGTCAGTTGAATTGACTGATCCCATTTTGAGATAGTGTAGAGAAAATTACAAATAAACTATAAAGTTTTACAGAAAATTGACGTTTGAAATGCATTTAGGAGGAGGGATTATGCAAAGGAAATTTGAAATTTTTAAGATGAGGAAAAGTATTTTTAATTTTAATATGAAAATAATTTTGCACACAGACTATTCAAAACAAATGCTCGATATATTCATGGACAAATCTTTATTTTAGTTTATTAAAAATACTTCACTAAGAAATATGATTTTTTGTATGTGAAATACTTATAATATTAATTGAAAGACTGCCAAATTTTGTGAAGATATACATACTACATTGAAAGTTAGAAGTATTAAATCTATAAAGACTTTAAACAAGTACAAAGAGGTCACGTGGTTGGTCAAATTGACCAAGCCCATGTTGAGTGAGTTAAAGTTGTTTTCATTTATTTTGTGTGGCAGACCTAGATTCCACACCAGCATAATAAATTAGAAAATTTAAGTACAAAATATAATTCTATTTCAACAGTTTTTATTCACAAATATTTTAGAGTTGATATTTTAGCTTATTTAGTATTTATTTAATGCGTTTCACAAAGACGAGAAAAATATTACAATTTTCATATTTTGCCATTTCAAGGAGTATTTTCTGTAAACAACCTATTTACATTTTTTTTTTAATCTTTCTGTTAATCATGAAGTATAGGTCTATGTTTACTAAGAAATTACCATCTCTTGGAAATAATGGTTCATATCTTGTTTCTCAAGTTATTTTTCTTCTCTGTCAGTGGTTTTATTACAATAGCCATGCATTTCTACCTTTGTATGATATCACAGCATATGGTCTGAACAATTACTAATGAAGCTGAGCCAATGAAAATAACTAGAGCCAACGATTGAATATAAGAGTTTCTAATCTATCTACATCATTATGGAGTAAATAAAGCAGTTTTAGCAGTAATTTTTGGTATGTTGATATATTACCTAAAGTCCAGTAGGTATGAACAAAGGATCCTATTACAGAGTTTTCAATGTTTAGATTTAGAAATTTCTTCCGGCATTATTTTCATTTGTTATAAAGATCATGTATTAAATTATGTTTCTAAAGCAACAGGAATATACTTCAATGAAAAGACATCTGATAAGCTTAGCAAGTACAGTAAGCAATGGCAAATAATTTGAATGACATGGTTCCTTTTTTTTGAATACATTGTTGAGTTTATTGTATTCTATTAAAAGAATTTATTAGTTGTTGAAAAGAAATTATATTATTAGACAAATAATCTCAACAAGAATATTGTTGGCAAAAGCCATGATGCAATGCCTGACAGAAGTAATAGTGATAACATTTTGAAAGGTATGGGCATTTGTTACTGTTAAATCTGTGCATGGTTTATTGCCAGATATGGTGACTGTTTCATTTGGCAAAACAAGTTATCAAAGAAATATAATAATAGATATGTCAAACACTTAGAAACTGTAACAGAATTATATATACACCTTAAAGTGTAACTTATCATTAATAATAAAAAATTACATCCTAAGTTGAAAAGAAATACTTTTAATTTTTTTTTTAGAAATTGACTGAACAATATATGGGAAATTTTCCAATTTAGAAAAAGATAGAAATACCAAATTAAATTAAATTAATTTTTAAAATGGAAAAAAAAAATGTTCAGAAAATTTTAACAAAAGTTTCATGCAATTTAGAAAGGATAAATTAGGGGATATCAATGGCATGTCTGTAATCTGGAAAAGATTTATTATGGTAGTAGAAATAGTAGAATTATAGACCTCAGAACTGTGTTTATGCAATTTTGAAAAATCTCGCACATTAAATATGTTTTTTCTCAAGTTTAAACTACAATTTTTTATACTTGTGACTTTTGTTGCTATACTTCTGGTGAGCTTATATTGCTTATAAAATCTATAAAAAACTTCATTTTGAAAAGCAACTTATGGTTTTGTGGAAATAGACTATATAATTTACACTCATTTTTTTTGTTTTACAAATCTATAAAATTTATTTTGTAACAGATAAAAGTTTTGGGTTCCAAACCCCAGTCTTCTTCCTTTGTACTTGTTTGTCTTTAGAAGGTATGTTAGTGTTTCAGGAATTTTAAAATTTGTGTAGGATTGTTATTCTCACTGAAAAAACACAAAATAACATGTATGCTTTTTTTTTTTTTTATCATGAGCCTATATTTTTAAAATGAGAACCTATATTTTGATTTACATTCTTGTCCATAAACACTGAAGGGTTTAATATATTTTAACCAACCAGAAAGACAAAAAAGAGTTTTCCAACAGTCATCAGATTTCTAACTTTATTGTTACTTAGGGACAATATGAGATTCACAATAATCCTATTTTATTATTCCACCAAAACACTTAAACAAATATAATATGCTCAGAGTCGTGTTTTTGTAAACAAGCACCTCTAAGTTCTCTGTTTATACACTTGCGTATAACTACTGAAATTTTTTACCAAGCAGAATGTAGTTAATATATACATTTTCCCAATTTTACAAAAAAGGCATATTTGCTGTGTGGATTTTTTCATGGGGTATTCAATGAAAATTTGCCTTATTAGTTTGATTTAAAGATGGAATGAGTTTCAAAAATGGCAAATGTTAAAGAGTGGCATGATGAAGCAATGACTAGAAAAGTTGATAATTCTGTTTAAAACAAATTCAGGTGGGAAATGGGTGGAGTTAGAACTAGAAATTCTGAGGGTCGTGGGTTCGAATCCCCGTCCCACCAAACATGCTCGCCCTTTCAGCCGTGGGGGCGTTATAATGTGATGGTCAATCCCACTATTCATTGGTAAAACAGTAGCCCAAGAGTTGGCGGTGGGTGGTGATGACTAGCTGCCTTCCCTCTAGTCTTACACTGCTAAATTAGGGACGGCTAGCGCAAATAACCCTCGTGTAGCTTTGCACGAAATTCAAAAACAAACAAACAAGAACTAGAAATTATATTGTTGTTTGATATAAACCACATGTGATGAAGTCAAATCTGGGAGAACTCATTAAAAAGGTTGATTTATCACAAAAAGATTTATGCATAATATGAAATGAATTTATAACTATTTGTCATAGGATTGATATACAATTTTGACACATGGAACTACTAAAAAGCACATAGAACAGTCAAATGACTAACCAAATGTAACTAATTTACTTTAATATTTATGGGAATTATACCTGTCAAATGTGTGAAAAAAGTACAGAAGAATATACCAGTGAGCCTCTAATTTTCAAAAGTTTTCCAGGAGAGAATGCCTCTGGACTTTCCTGGTATGCTGAGCATTGGACTCATAATATTTCAGATTTTTGTTTCTTTGCCTTTTCTCATCTTTGTGTTTCTCTGTTTTTTAAAATTCTTTGGTGTTTGTAGTTTTTTTTTTTTAAACTAGGATTTATGTATATATATATGTATATTTATATAGACAGTTAAAGTAGAACGTCTCCCAATTCAAGAGTATTTGCGGAAGCTGCTGTATAAAGACCTCTCCAAGAATAACACTGAAAAGGTAATAGTTATAACAAACAAATGCAGCTGTAGTGTGATAAAATATGAAAAATGCAAAGAAATGGTTTAAACTCCTGTAAGGGTAATGAAAGTATGTGACTAACTTTTCAGCCAAATGAATTTTGTAAGTAAAGACCATCTAGCCATTTGCCAACTATATATATTTTTTCCCTAAAAGTGATTTTTAACCACTTCTTTGTATTTACAGAACATTGAAAAGGAACAAATACTTTAGGTCCAGTAATTCAACCTGGTTACATGTTTATGATAGGAAAATGTAATAAAATGGTAATATACATATATATATGTGTGTGTATGTAAATTTGTCCATATTTACTTTCATCTTAGAGTTATCTCACTTTTTTAATCTGTACAACATACTTAAAGGTATATACGGTTTTGGAAATGATCATAGAAATAGTGAATAAAATTAATATGAAATGCAAATACTATGGGATAGCACCCTATCTATTGTATGAAAATGAACTGTGCCAGAGTACAATCATGTGTTGATAGTTTACAATGTGATTGATTGCCATCCAACCAATCAACTAGCACCACATCAGTATAATGTTGATAAAAATACAGGCAGTTCTACTGTTTCCAACAAGAGTGTGGTTAATGTACTCAGGGCTGTCAGGAAAGAAATGTTTCTTGATAGACATGTAGAAATAACTGTTTAAAAAAAAACTGGTGAAGACTACTCATGTGATAAATTGAGCCAAAATTTCATGCTTGAGTAAGAGTTGTATGTAAATTCCGAAGAGAGTGCATGAAACTAGTACTATTGATAATTAAGTTGGTTGAGTTAGAAAGCTATAGTTCTTCAAAAGTAATGCTAATTAACTTGGGACAAGACAATCCAGTATAGACCTTGCCTCTAGCCTAGCTGTAAGTACAGGTGTGAATCTTACTTCCAGACCATCAAGGTGCACATTAACAAGAAGTGATCTCAGTGAAGGTGTAGCTGTTCAAAAACTAGCTTTAATAGAAGATAGTGAAGAGATAACCAAATCAAAGTTTAAAATAAGCATTATACAAGACAATATGATGAACAAAACTGAAGGAAGATAATTTTTACAGATAGGTTAATATTAAAATTATTGACAATAATCAAAGTTAGTCTTATTTGATGGAAGGGAAGAGAATGGTATCATAGTAAGTGTACAAAATTTATATTTATGTATGCTGGAGGACTAATACAAGTGTTGGTTACATCTCAGGCAGTGGCGATAGAGATCTGTTCACATGGATAGCACTCCTAACTGCTGACAGGTTCAAGCAGGTTTTTATCCATCTCAACCAATGATGTTGGAAATTTATACAAAATTGTTAACACCATGATTGCTGACAGGTACATGCAGATTCTTATCCTAAATGTTATTTCTTCAGTAAAAAGACCTGTTAGGCAGGGATTCATCTTCCAGCAAGACATTGGCAGTAAATATTAAAAATTAGACAATGGAACACTGAGACTGTATGGGCTTATTTAGAAACTGACACGGTCAAACAGCAATAAAACGACTTGGCTAAATTGTGGTAGTAGTAGTAGTACGGAGCATTTTGAATAATGTTTCACAATCATACACTGATAAATTTATGGTAGTATAAAACAAGTAAGTACAAAACATAGAGCAATGTCATGTTTTCAAGTTTCTTTCTATATATTTTCTGTAATATTGTAATATACTAATGATAAATTGATTTAGTTAAAATTACTCATTACTTTTGAGTCGTGTATATGTGTCACGTAATTATTTCCAACAATATATATATATTTAATTTCATAGATTTTTAAGTTAGAAATTTTGTTTAAATTTTGTATTGGTATTTATGGAGTAAATGTTAGTCTAGAATTTTGAATTTATAAATAAATGTACAATGAAATTTATATAGGAATTTAGCAATTTTTGGCAGTGATTTCTCTAAAATTTGTGCTAAATAATCATGCTGTTTTTCATATTCATGGAAAATGTTCTATTGTAAAATAATTAATTTTATGTTTTTAATAACAAGGAAATTTAGACTGAATTTTAAAATTTTATTCTGTTTGGTAGATTTTACGCCAAATGAGGAAGTTAAATTGGGATGATCCTGATATCAGTGCCTATGCTACTAAGTGTTTAATGTCCATATGGAATGTTAAGTACTACAATGTTCGATGTGTCGCTAACTTACTTGCTGGTCTTGTTGCATATCAGGTATGTATGATTGGATAAAAAACTACATTTGTGATCAATGAAAAATAAATCTAAAGTATTTGTATTCACCATAAATTAAACTATGATTAGCAATTAAAGTGAATTCTAACAAACTAGTAAATTGCTGGTTACTCTTTCAGTTTTGGTAATAAAACTTAGAAAGCACTAGAAACAAAATTGATAGTACATACTTCAGAAAGAATATTCACAGATTCTTACTGTTGAGTATCAAAACGTCCATGATGTATAATAATGGTTGGAGACGGCTTGAATGGGTAATGAAGAAAAACTTTAATATAAGTTTAACATAACAGCAAATGTACAAAGTTTTGTACAAGGTTTTGTCATCTATCATTTGCTGTTATGTT